ATTTAGGTGTGTCCACTATTAGTATTTGTTAAAACTTTATAATTCAGTGGTCATATCTTAATTTAATTAATGGTAATATCTTCAGAATAAAATGTTTGATAAACTTCTTGAACAAAACTAGGGAGGATCATAAAAGAAATAAACAGATTACAAAAACTATTGGAACATTCATTTAAAACCAAAGAATGAAATAGTATCAGTATTACAACAAAATATTATTAAAATCACACAACGTTCAAGGATGTAAGACACATATGAAGATAATTTACACACAAAAATGTTGTGCTTACTAAATTTGTTGACTTCTTCAGCAACATTTTCATATCGTTGTTCAATTATGCATCAGCTAGTCTTTATTTGAAACAATTAATTTAAATAATTTGGATGTTATGACCATTTTTGGATGGCATGTCAGACTTCACAACAAAACTGAAATCGGGAAAACAGCTGATCGAAACAGAGATGATCCAATCAAAATATTTTTATTAAATTTTTATCATAACCTAATTATCCACAGCTGATTTGGCATGTGATCAGTCATAATATCAAGACTATTATCACTATCTGGCTGAGATTCATTAAAGACAAGTAGAATATACAGTTCTAGACCTTTTCCCTTATCGTTTGGTATAGAAAAATCATTAAAAAAATGGTTTCCCATCTAAATAATTTAAAACAAATCAGAAAGTTATCCAAAACACCACGCCAAACTTCCACGAAGATAGGGCTCCATTTAGCTTATTTGGGTTTTTAAAACATGTTCATACTAATTTGTTTTCCCAGGAAACGAAACAATATTATAGTGTCTCTATCAACAGCACTTTAAAGTTGATTAGTCCTAGTGTGATGGATTCAAATGCCACTTAAGTGGCAATTAGTGAACAAAGTGTTAACACATTGTCATAAAAAGTAACTATTAAATAATCTGCTGAAATTGGACATGTTGTGTTAGAAGGTGCAGAAATTGTAGAGTAGCTGTGAACCCAACTAGCCAGCCTCCATTTTTTTGAAATGGTGAAAGCAGAAGAAGAAATTCTAGAAAGTAATTTAGAAAAAAAAAACTGACCACATCAACCATCTTCAAAAATGACTTTGGTTCCCAGGTTGATCCAGCCTTAAATGGGTAGCAGATACAGCCTAGAAAGTAAAGGCAGCTAGCATGATGTTGACCACATTACCCACTGATTGCTGATTGGTCTATAAAATATAGGTCTAGCCCTATATACCCAATACACCCAAAGGCATGAAGAAAGTGTCCATTACTTATCAGTTAATGATTGGTGTGTGTGATGTGCGATCGGGTACAATAAAATATGGCATCAAATAAATTACAATGCCACCAGGCAAGTGTGGCAGAACAGTATGAACTTCAATGCTTCCAAACGCAGTTAACGATGAAGACTAGGGGATATGTAATTGGTGTATTTGTTGACACACTTGATCAATGAGTAAATGTGCAAATAATAGGACTCTTGGTGAAGACTCACCCAAACACGCCAACACAAGCTTCAGCACGCACACCCTTAATTACTTTGAAATTACATCTTCAATTCAAATGACAGGTCAACAGCCCGACCTTGAAAGTCCGGACGGTCACATTGATCTCCTCTTCTACAGTCTAAACAGGGCAATTTCCCTCTTTAATAACTCAGCCTGGAGAATCCTTCCTTAAAGTATACCAGCTTCTTGTCGAGCACAATAAACAATGTACCAGCTTTCAGCTGAGGTTTCTAGTGGAGTCCCAGGGTAGAGCGTCCTCAAGGATACACTGAGACAAGACTACACGACTGTCTCCTTCAGACTGTATACACCGAATCTCTCCGTGGCATCCCGGGGTAGAGCGTCCTCAATGATCCACTGAGACACCACCACACGACTGTCTCCTTCAGACTTTATACACCGAATCTCTCCGTGGCATCCCGGGGTAGAGCGTCCTCAATGATCCACTGAGACACGACCACACGACTGTCTCCTTCAGACTGTATACACCAAATACTTAGATTACAATTCCTCAACAACATTACATATTGTTTTGACATCCTATTTGCTCACTCAGTAATGGTGCGTTTTAGTGCATATCCGCACGCAACAGTGTGTAAACATATAGGACTAAAATCCACATAGATCTCATGGCAAGGGAATGAAAAAAATGTACTTTTTGATTACTAGCGCTCATCCATGTTGAAATTTGTTCATGTATTTCAGGTTCATTTATCAAGGCAACAGCAGCCAACCATCAAGAAGGCCAGAATGCCCAGTTTCAGAGTCCACATCTGAGATTCAATGATTCTGTGTGCCTAAGATTCTATTATTTCATAACACCTTCCTGTGATAGTTTTTTAAGCATAGAGACACTTGGGCCACAGGAAAGACGCCCTGTTCCATTGCTGGACTTGGAGAACATTATTTATGGAACCTGGCAATCTACAGAGGTCACTGTTTATGACCCTTTTGATATACAGGTACTTCTCCAACATTTTTGCTGCAGTCCTGCTTTGTCCGAATTTTTAGCTTCTTTGTAAGCAGAGTATTCTTGATTTTTGTTTTCTTTAATAGTTGTTACTCCAATCTTCTGTCATCGGCTGAGACCCTGGCACTGAAAGACGTTAGTTTTTTTTGGGGGGGGGGGGGGGGGGGGGGGGGGGGGGGGGGGGGGTCAACTGATTTCTCCCAATGCCAACAAACAAATTTATTTTTCTTCTTCTCTACCACTTTTTACCTCAGTAAAGGGGGGTGGGGGGGATGTAACGTTCATTGATGAGCTCTGTCAAGAGCACTATTAAGATTGATGTTCATTTCTGTAAAGCTGTTCTTAATGCCATCACTCCCATCTTTTATGAGGTCTTCCACTCGCTCTATACACATTGTAACATTTCAGTGTGGCTTGTTGTGGCAGATAGTGCCAGGGCATTCTTGTTAGGTGTTCAAACCACTTCATTTGTTGTTCTTTGATGACTTGTAAGACTGGCTTTATTAACATTATATTTCTCCATTAATTATAACACGTGTTCTGTTTTATTGCCCCGTCCACATATTTTGATTATCCCTAGCCTTTTACTGGCCTTTACTTTTCCTTTTTTTAAAAAATATTTAAAAGGATCAAACAAAAACTGTTTTACATTATGTGTATATGTCACAATATGACATCAGGTAGTGCTCACATATTGCTCTGTCTGAAACAGTAATAATAAACAGACAAGATATGATGCTAACATACTCAATAAATTTATACTGATTCATAAGAAGCCATAAATGTATTCTGTAAACAGAAAGTAAACTAACAGTACAACATTTCAAAATGATAGCATTCTTAACTTTCTTCTAAAGAGATTTTTAAATGGTATTCAGTATTCAAACAGTTGGAAAATCTAACAAATTAGGTATGACTATAAAGGTTTATCAACTGACAGAATAGAACTATGAACAACCAGAAAGGTTATACAGAACGAACAAACTCTATTTTCAGAGGGTCACAAAATGAAGAATACTAAATTTCAAATGGTCAGATTTCCTAACCAATACACAAATAAGGCAAGAATCCAGGCAAGAGTATGTGTCTAATTTTATACGAAAACGCCGCTGGAACTATGTCGGCCACGCCCTTAGAATGGATAAATCAAGACTTCCTTACCAAGCCCTCATTTGGACACCACAGGGGAAAAGATCTCGTGGAAGACCAAGGGAAACCCTTCGTGTAGAACTATCATCAGGGAAGGCTCGCTCATGGGCCACTCAAACATCCAAGACCTACAACGGATTGCAACGGACCGTTGTGCATGGAGAGTCATGACCTCTGCCCTATGTGCCGCACTCGACACAAGAGGAAAGACTAACTAACAAAATGGGCACGCAGGCCCGTCACATTCGGCCCTTCCAAACACCCATTTTTCACACAGCAGCTGTAATTAAGCATGTTATGTTCATATAAAAATATGCATATTATGAATATCAAGACTAAACACAAAAGCATGTGTGGTAAACTGCATGCACTCACGCACGCACACACACTCACTTGCACGCACCCACTCATTCACTTACATACACATGCATACACACCCACATTCAGACACACACCCGCATGTCTACACACATACATACATATTACATACACACTCATATGCCACACACATATACACACATGCATACACACATACATACATACACAGGCACACACAGACATCTACAGACACAATCGCAGACACATACACGCATGAACAGACACACCCAAACATACACACAGATACATATGCAGAGACACACACAAACACACACATGCAGACACACAGAAAGACACACACAGACACACATGCAGATACACACATGCAGACACTCAGGCAGACACATATACACACACATACACAGACACTCAGGCAGACACATACACACACACATATACAGGCACACACTCAGACACACACAGACACACATGGATAAACACACACAAACACACCCAGAGACACACACACATGCAGAAACATACGCTGACACTCAGGCAGACACAAACACGCAAACATACACATGCAAACACAAACACACAAACAGACACATACAGACACAAACACACACACACACAGATAAATATGCACAGACTCAGGCAGAAACACACACATACACACAGATGCACACACTCAGAAACACACACACACAAAGACACACAGACATACACACACACAAAGACACACACACAGACACACAGAGACAAGCACACACATGAAGACACACATAGACAAACACACACACACAGACACACCACACGCAGACACACGCAGACACAGGCATGCAGAAACACATGCAGAAACATACACATGCGGTGTAGAGGGAAATAGTGAGTCTATCCCCCACTGGAGATGAAAAGCAGAAGCACCATGTGAAATAGTTATCTGTCCTTGTCATGATTAATAGTAACTGTAAGATGCAAAATAGATTTAATAGATTTGAAGAACATGTTTTTATGTTACATCTCTAATAAATCCTGTTTAAGGTTTTTCTGTAACTTTCAGATCATATTTCTTGTTACGATTGGTCACAACAAAAGTGGTGAAATTGGCATTGATGATGTGACGTTTATAGATGGGGAGTGTCCTTACACAGGTATGTTGTCATTCAAGTTGCATTTATTGATTCTGTTGAGTATTTATCTATTGTTTATTCATTTATGGACTTATCCATGTGCAATGAAAATGACCCTTAAAAAAAAAGTCAACAGTTAAAAGTACAAATATTCAATAAACACACTTTACCTATGATTTAGTAGTACATGGTAGTACAAAAGCTTTACAAGACTAGTTTTTGCATACTACCTTTCTGAGATCCCATAGTAGTGCAGGCGAAGAAGGGAAGTTGCATTTCACTAGGGCCACCTTCAGAATGATTAACACCTGGTAATGAAAAGTGCAAAGTGTCACTTCACAGATGAGAATCCCCCAGGTTTACATCTCCCAAAACCCTGTTCAACTATAAGGTGATATCAACGGTTACAAAGTAATCTGAAGTAAAAACAGGGTATGGCGGTAATTGCATCATGTAACAGAATGTAATGGCAATTTTTTTTGCATATCATGTGGACACATAATAGATTCTGTAAAACTAGCGAAGAGGTAGATGGTGCCCACAGGGAAGTCTAAAGTATGCTGCATATACAATGTGATGGTTTTAACCTGTCCTAATGTCTAAGATAAAAAAACTATTAAAAAAACATTCCCTACACCAGTTTCTGCTCCAGGTCGTGTATCCAAAACAAAAAAGATTATAGAATTAATTATCTTCTTACAGTCTTCTCAGCATTTTCTGATTTCATCATCATCATTATCATGTTGTGCTATTATATGCCACATTGGGCTCATAGTCTGTTCATTCCATTGTATATGTGCTATCTCTTTAATATCATGGATTGAATCCAGGCCAGCATCTTCGGCCTCTTTCATCAGTGTTCATTTTAGGGTTTCTATTTGATATCTTCATTTCCACAATCCTTTTTTCTGTTTTCATCCCACTGTAATTGATTAAAAACTGTGGTTATTTCAGGAACAACTGATTTTGAGGATGGATTTGATGTCTTTCATAATGTTTACTCTAATGATTTCAACTGGGTGATTGCCAGTCCAAGTGATGGCATTTTTGTATGGCTACCAGCAACAGATTTTTCTTCAAACTCAAAAGATGGTAAATTTTTTAATTTTGACATTTTTTGCCCAGAACTGTTTACACCAATACTGCCTTGAGGTCAACTTTATCATCATGTAGCAGGACCTTTGCAGAATGTCGCTCCCATCACGGTCTGTCTGAAAGAAACTTGGTCTCTCGCCAGCTCTTCCACCTCATGCACTTTAATATCCAAGGAGTCACTGATATCCTGTGCTCATCATTGTGTTAGTTGGTCCCTGTCCTTCCTTCCTAGTACTTTGCCCTCTGCTATTATTTTTTCCAATCTGCCATGACACCTGATATAGCCAAAATATTTTAGCGTCCTAGACAAGATGCTGTTTATTAGCCAATCTTCTTTGATTGATCTTAAGAACTTTTAGAATGTCAGTATTTTTTTTCTTCTTTGTCCTTGGTATTCTGAGAATCTTTCTATAGCATTTCAGATCAAAGGCCACTATTATTTTCCTTAAGGACTGGGAGATAGTCCACAACCTGCATCTGAGGTGGGATCAACTGAGCCTCATATTAGATAATTTCCAGAATTTTTAAGAAATTGACTGGGAAGGATATGGGATGATGAAGAAAACTGGCCACATCCACCCATTTGTTGTGACTTAGAATGTGTAAAGGGTTAACTCTTTCGGAACCAAACAACTTGCCAGTGTTTCTCTATCATTCCAAAAATAACAAAATTCTTTTTGTCTTCTGTCACTGACTGATCTTATATAAACCTTTAATATCTGAATTATTTCATTATTGCAGTCCCACAGTGTCTCTGTTGAACTTGTTACAGTGTAAGTATTTGTTGCATTTAACCTTAACTAAGTACCCTGGGATAAAAGGGGTTAAAGTAACATCTTCTTGGGACTGAAAGAGTTTAAGCTTTACACCGAGAGGGCAGTATATGTTATGGGACAGCTATTATATCTTTTGCCATAATCAACCCTGTCTAATGTAAGCAGCTGCCCCTGTGTTACCAAGACCTCAGATCTGAAGCAAACAACAGTAACACTGCATGCCTACCAGGCATGTTGTAAAAGGCAAGTAAGCGTAGAGTTGGGCTTGGAGTTGGCTACCTGATCCCATAAATAACAATAGCTACAAAAAACTAACCTACCATCAAAGGGTCTTTAAAGTGAATACATAATAAGAGAACCAGAGAGTGTTTTTACAATTATTAATTAGGAATCAACATCATAACACTTTGGACATTCCTGTAAGTGTTCTGTCCTTATCTTCAGCAGCAAACATAGAGTTCCAATTCTCATGGTACCAGTAACAGTCTGATTGTGTGTGTCTGTCTTACCCCTTTCCTAAGCATGAAGTGTCAGCAAAATTTCTTGGTTGCTCTTCGCTGCACAGTTCTTAATAGACTGTAATGATCTATTAGATGCTCTACACTATTCACTGTCTCCTAGCACTGTGTGGGTGCTGGGGTCGCATTGTGGGGAAAACAAGAACAGACCCACTGCCTACCCAACAAGCATGTCATAAGAGTCGACTAATTGGGGCTTCCTTCAAAGTCAGAGTGCATTTGCCTGAGAGGCAAGGAACCAATAGTATGCATACAAATAAGCAAGAGCTGTAAAAAAAGGGATGCACATGCGAAACTCTGGTGCTGGAACAAAGCCAAAGTCCAGAAATGGATGAACACCCGGGTCTTTGTGCCGAAGTTTACAGCCAGTGAACACAAACACCAACTCTCTCCCAAAGGGCCCTGACAGCAAACTAGCTTTTCATTCATCACTGTGTCACTGACGGAGTTTCATTAACAATCTTCTGCTTCTTCTTCTGCGTTCGACATCAGTCATGCTACACATTGAGTCCCGTCTGGTTCAAAAATAGGATTGTGCGTTTAAGGTCGCCACAATCACAGAGGATGGTACATATGATATGGAAATTACAGATAGATGGTACATGATAAAGTGCACATTTAACAATATCAAAACCAGTAGCAGTGGCTAGATGTGTGCCTCCAGTAAGATGGATTGTGTTCAAGTCTGCATTGTTCGCATTAGTATTAGCTTCCTGGTCAACCCAGCTTAAAATGGCTACTACGAAATGTCTTAGATCATAAAGCTGGTTGGTCTGATGATAGCCCAGTCAGACAGACACGATAGAGGGTTGACCTCACAAGCGATGAAGAGGTGGAATATCCCAGGCCCTAAATACCAGCATCTATTTAGTAGTACATATCAAGGCTTGCACTTGATGCCTCTTCAGAACCTAATGCTAAAAGGCAGAACAGAACTAGAGAAAGAGGAGGAGGAGGAGAAGAAGACAAGAAGAGAAAGTAGGTAAGATTGATGTATAAACTTATGGGTTAGTACCACATACTTGATGTGCCTGCCAGCTGGTGCTGCATAATAAGAAATTCAACAAATGATTTATAAAAATTCCATCCCAGGTGACGTATTTGTATACACTGATGGCTCTGGGTTGAGGGGCAGATGAAGTACATGGGAGTTCATAGCGAAAGGCAAATGGACGTCGCTTGGTGCAACAAAGCTTGGCATATGATATCACAATGTCTAGTTTGAGAATGGAGTCACTGCTGCCTTCCGCTGGCTTGAGAATCAGCTGTACACACATGCCTTCATTGTAACTGACTCACAGAGCATGTGGAGAAAGATGGAGACAGTCACTGCTGCCTTCCGCTGGCTTGAGAATCAGCTGTACACACATGCCTTCATTGTAACTGACTCACAGAGCATGTGGAGAAAGATGGAGACAGTCACTGCTGCCTTCCGCTGGCTTGAGAATCAGCTGTACACACATGCCTTCATTGTAACTGACTCACAGAGCATGTGGAGAAAGATGGAGACAGTCACTGCTGCCTTCCGCTGGCTTGAGAATCAGCTGCACACACATGCCTTCATTGTAACTGACTCACAGAGCATGTGGAGAAAGATGGAGACAGTCACTGCTGCCTTCTGCTGGCTTGAGAATCAGCTGTACACACATGCCTTCATTGTAACTGACTCACAGAGCATGTGGAGAAAGATGGAGACAGTCACTGCTGCCTTCCGCTGGCTTGAGAATCAGCTGTACACACATGCCTTCATTGTAACTGACTCACAGAGCATGTCGAGAAAGGTGGAGACAGGCATGCTCCCTGCAGAGTGGCGAGCATCACTTTAAAGTTTCCAGGTAGTTAGAATCCTTTGGATATTTTACCAGATGATGCCGGTGTGTTGGGAAATGAGCAGGCAGATAGAGTGGCCAGTTCTGCACCACTAGGTGGTGAACTGATGGCTGGCTGGCTGTTGTGAAAGTCCTTTGGGAGCGAGTGAACAGTGCCAAGGCACAGATAGATCATTACTGTCTGAGGAGTAACAAGGTGATCAGGCCCACGCTCAACACTCAGGAGAAAGGCGAGACGGATATACAGTCAGACAGTTACTGGTAACATTAGAATTTGAACTCTTCACTTGCTGCTGAAGATGGGAACAGAGTGCTTATGGGGGTGTCCCGAGTGCTGTGATGTCGATTCTTAATTCAACATTCAACAATCAACTTAATGTGCATATAACATAAAAAGATACAATTTTTATCTCATTCAGTGCTGATATATGGAATGGACATATGAATTCTTTACTAACAAGATGAAGCATAAAATCGAGGGTGTTTATGAGCTGTAGCCAATCAGAACATGAGCAAGTTTCTTTGGCTGATAACAAGATAATTAAGAATGGCACTGCTGGGGGAAAGAACATTTATAATATTTCAAAAAAGAACAATATAAATAACATATGTGGCTGAATAAAACAAATTATATGATTAATAAAATAGCAAAAGCGTGGACTCAAAATACAGTGGACACGAATTATCCTAATTATGACCTTGAAGACTGAGCAAAATATTATTTCTGTGAAGACTATTACTAGTAGAAAGTTCAGGTGTTTAGATTATTCAGTATGGCTCCATGGCTTAGAAGTCAGTGAATGCAGTAAACAGTTTCATAATCCTTGAGTACTAGGATTCGTTACCCACTGTGGGTGGTCAAAAAAAATCATTTTCATGGTTTTCAGACAGTTGTGGAAGTCATGTTGTGGAAGTCATATTGTGGAAGAGATTGGAGTATCAGCATGTAACATTCCCAAAGACAACAGTGGTAACACTGTAGCCAATCTTTATTGTGAAGTCATCACAGGCTCCTAAGATTATTCAGTTGTGCTGTTTTCTTTTGCAGGTCATTTTGCAGTTGTATCATTTAACTTCAGTCACTCTGCAGGCAGCAAGGCAGAGCTATGGGGCCCTCTGTCTCCAGAAATGTATGATTACTGCACCACTTTCAGTTTTTATGTGCATGGAAGTGACCCAGGAGTGCTGAATGTCACATTTGTTGACTTCCTAGAAAAAAGCAGAGTGGTAGTCTGGTCTTACAGTCCCACTTCTGCAAACAAAGACTCCAGAATTGATGCACAGTTGCCTCATGTCTATGCCAGCAAATTTTATGTGAGTATTTATCAAACATTTTTAAAGTATGGTGTCTTCTAGTTCTTCATTTGCTTTGATGTCTTTTCTAGTTCTTCATGCACAGCTAATTTAATTGACATTTGTTTTTTAGTGAATGAAAAAAGTGAAAAAATTACGCTTGTTGAAAAGGATACATGCTAAGAAAATTTGGTAATAATATAGTAGCTAGTTGAGTTATGTTGAGGAGTCAAGAATTGATATTGCAGCACTCAGGGCATTCCCTTATGTGCTCTGTCCTTATCTTCAGCAGCCAGTGCAGAGTTCCAATACTGATGGTACCGGTCACAATTTGATAATATGTCAGTTTTGCCTTTCCTCTAAGTGTAGTCAGCCGGCCAGACACTCTGGTTACACCCAGGTGTCTCATTCTCTCCAGGCCATAATTATGTTTTTCTACTGATTCCGTTGCTTGTTGCCTAAGGGCCTTGACAACATCTGCCTTGTCATGTATCAATTCACCACCAGGTAGTGCAGATCCAACCAATCTGTCTGTCTGTTCATTTCCCACAACACCGGCATAGACTGGAGAAAGTATTCAAAGTGAAGCTTCCCACTCTGCTCGAAGCATCCCTGTCTTCAAATTTCTCAGCATGCTTTCAGAGTCTGTTACAATTACCACATGTGTATGCATCTTGTTCTCTAACCACCGGAGAGCTGCAGTTACCGCCTCCACCTCTATTCTCTGGCTAGATGTTGTGGTGTCGTATGCCAGGCTGTCTTGTACTAAAGATTTTTCACTGGCTTTCGCTACGAACTCCCAGGTACTTCTCTGTTCTCTCAACACTGAACCATCTGTATAGATAATCAGATCACCTGGGCGTGAATTGTCGTGAATCAACTGTTGGACTTCCACCTCCGTAGCACCTGCTGGCCACTCTCTGCACTCCCGGCACAATGTCATCCTGACCCTACACAGGTCTGACTTTTTCTCTGGTACTCTGACCCACTCCTCTCATCTCCTCACCTTATGCTCTCCAGCATGCATACTTGTCTTATTATGTCTTCTGCTTGAGCCATCCACAATTTCCTCTTTTCAGCCTCTGACCCTTACCTGCAGCCAAAGCCTCATTCAGCGGGTGTTCTTTGTCTGCAACTTCTCTGAAGTATGACTTAGCCTGCAGCACCTTTAGCCTATCTGCAATAGTCGGCAATGCAAGGATGAATCGCGTGCACACAATCGGGGTGTCTCTTGTACAACCCAGGATCAGCAGCATAGCTTCATACTGTGTGCGCTACAGTTTCTCTAGCTGACTCTTCGAGACAGTAACCCCAATCCATAATCAATCACTGAGATGATTAAGTGCTGGTAAAGTGTGAACAGCATTCTCTGCTCCTTATCCATCACTGCCATAATCTTTAGTGCATTACCACTTTTTTTAGCTCTGTCACAACCCCCTCTATGTGATCCTTTAAAGAAATTTATGTCAAAGGTGATTCTTAGGTACCGCAGTCTGATGTCTCTTTTGATGTTTCTTCTATTATTTTGAGTCTAGGAACATCAGCTCTAACAATCCTGTTGTCTGAAGAACACCACAAGACCTTATATATATATATATATATATATATATATATATATATATATATATATATATATATATATATATATATATGGTATAAATAGTAGCTAGTATGTCAGTTTACTGGAACCCGCAAAGTCAAAGAAATAAAGACAGATTTTAAAATAAAATATTCAGAAAAGAAAACTGAAGAATGAGGTGATAACAATTGCCAGGACGTGGGGTGAGCTGCATTCAATAGAAAGAAGAGAACTGCTTAGAGCGGGTTGGCTGCTGACATTTGCTTCATTGTGAAATAAAGAGCAGAAAGAGGAGAAGAAGAAATATTTGTGTAGTTCAAGGATTGTTTTAAATACTAAAAGAAATATGTCATTGTACTGTCTTTGTGTATATTGTATATTATGTATTTTGTGTATGACTTTGTTGGAAGTGTCCATTAAATTTGTAATGAAGTAAAAATGTAAAGAACCCTTTTCTGTGCCTTCAGGGCATATAGGGCTAGACCTATATTTTATATACCTATCAATATTCGGTAGGTGAAGTGGTCAGCATCATACTCCTATATTAGTTTGAAAATATATTGAATGTGACAATCTTTACATAAACTATTCAATACTGAATTATCCTATATTGGTTTGAAAATATATTAAATGTGACAATCTTTACATAAACTATGCAATACTGAATTATCCTATATTGGTTTGAAAATATATTGAATGTGACAATCTTTACATAAACTATGCAATACGGAATTATCCTATATTGGTTTGAAAATATATTGAATGTGACAATCTTTACATAAACTATGCAATACTGAACTATCCTATATTGGTTTGAAAATATATTAAATGTGACAATCTTTACATAAACTATGCAATACTGAATAGCAAAACACAATTGGTTTTCTTAAGTATCTTCTACTGACATGTAAAAAACTCTAAACGTCCCAATTATAACCTAGACGAGTAGTAAACAAGATATTGTTCTTTAAATTGCTACTACTGCACACTTGTACATTATTTGAATCACAGGTTGTGTTCACAGCTATACTGGGCTCTGATGGAGGATGGGCTTTAGACAATATTGAGACATTTCCTGCATCATCTCTCACATGTAGAGGTTTGTTGTTCAAAAAAAGTGATTTACCTTGTTTCAAGTGAAGTTCTCTTTGTTTTTCTCGTTTTAAGTTTCTCCTCCCCTTTGTCAGGAAAATATGGCCTTCTGTTGGCTTGAGAACTAGCTGTACACAGAGCATATTGAGAAAGGTGGAGACAGATATGTTCCATGCAGAGCAACAAGCATCTCTTCAGAGGCCCCAGGTAGTCAACGTCCTTTGGATAGTCTCTCTAGAGTATGCCAGTGAGTAGGGAAATGAACAGGCAGATAGACTGGCTGGTTCTGCACAACTTAGTGGGGAACTGACACATGACAAGCTAGATGTTATCGGGTTCCTTTGGAAGTGAATGAACAAAGTACAAACAGAACATTATGGTCTGAGGAGATTGGTGCTGCAAACAGTGACAAGGGGGTCTGACCAACGCTCAGCACTCTAGGGAAAAGTAAGAAGGATATGCAGTCAGACTGTTGCCGGTACCATCTGAATTGAAACTCTGCACTTGCTGCTAAAAAGTTTGGATGGAGCATCTATAAGAATGTCCAGAGTGCTATAATTTTGATTTTTAATTTAACATTAATCTGCCAGGAAGCATGGTAACATTGTTACAGTTAGAGTTCTGCAAGGAAGTTTAGTAACTTTATTACAATGAGAGCTCTGCCAGGAAGCATGGTAACATTGTTACAGTTAGAGTTCTGCAAGGAAGTTTAGTAACTTTATTACAATGAGAGCTCTGCCAGGAAGTATGGTAACATTGTTACAGTTAGAGTTCTGCAAGGAAGTTTAGTAACTTTATTACAATTAGAGCTCTGCCAGGAAGATTAGAAACTTTGTTACAGTTGAGCTCTGCCAGGAAGTTCAGTAACTTTGTTATAATTAGAAGCAGATGAGGTCTAATTAAAAAATTGTCGGGTCCAAATCCAGGAGCAGTGGTTTCACGAGAACCTAGAAATTTTCATACATTCAATTTGTCTGTTTGTAGGATTAGGAGTTGAGTCCCTAATAATGATGAATACCACGGCCTGTGTACACACTATAAAAGAATTTGTAATATGAATTTTTAGTGTCAGCCCATGATAGCCCACATGGTGGTAAAAAATCTTGGCCAGTATGCAGCCCAACTATGACACATCAGCCTGCCTGCACCCCATACACACACACACACACACACACACACACACACACACACACACACACACGCATGCATATGCACACACACATACACACACTCAGACACAGGGTCACACACAGAAGCAGACACATATGCACACATGCAGGAGCACACACACACAGAGTGATTGAAAAGTATCACCCAATTTCAAAATATTTTTAGTGTATTTATTAACTATAATGGGAGTCCCCGTGGCAGAGCGGCTAGACGCTCGTCACGGATCGGAAGGTCGTAGGTTTGCTCCCTGGAGAAGCCAGACTTTAAAAAAAATGACCTTAGCTGCCAGGTCGACCCAGCCTTGAGTGGGTAGCTGGTGCGGTCCGGGAAAGGAAAGGCGGCCGGGGTGATACTGACCACATCACCCACCTTGTGCCGAATGGTCTAAAAACTATAGGTCTAGCCCTATATGCCCTATATGCCTAAAGACGTGGAAAAGGATCCTTTATTTTTTTTTTTCATATTAACTATACTGGGTTTTGCATGACAGTCCTTGATTGCCTTTATGTCAACCAGAGCATGTAATGCCCTAATGGTCCTCTACCTTATTTGTACTCAAGCAATAGACATCTAGACTTTATAATGTGCCCCTAACTGGGCACGCTCCTGGCGGGTAAGACATCCAGACTTTATAATGTGCCCCTAACTGGGCACGCTCCTGCAGGGTAGGACATCCAGACTTTATAATGTGCGCCTAACTGGGCACGCTCCTGCAGGGTAAGAGATCCAGAGTTTATAATGTGCCCCTAACTGGGCACGCTCCTGCAGGGTAAGAGATCCAGACTTTATAATGTGCCCCTAACTGGGCACGCTCCTGCAGGGTAGGACATCCAGACTTTATAATGTGTTCGTAACTGGGCACGCTCCTGCAGGGTAAGAGATCCAGACTTTATAATGTGCCCCTAACTGGGCACGCTCCTGCAGGGTAAGAGATCCAGACTTTATAATGTGTTCCTAACTGGGCACGCTCCTGCAGGGTAGGACATCCAGACTTGGTAATGTGTTCCTAACTGGGCAGGGTCCTGCAGGGTAAGAGATCCAGACTTGGTAATGTGCTCCTAACTGGGCACGATCCTGCAGGGTAGGACATCCAGACTTTATAATGTGTTGCTAACTGAGCACGCTCCTGCAGGGTAGGACATCCAGACTTTATAATGTGTTCCTAACTGGGCACGCTCCTGCAGGGTAGGACATCCAGACTTCGTAATGTGCTCCTAACTGGGCACGCTCCTGCAGGGTAAGAGATCCAGACTTGGTAATGTGCTCCTAACTGGGCACGATCCTGCAGGGTAAGACATCCAGATTTCATAATGTGCCCCTAACTGGGCACGCTCCTGGCGGGTAAGACATCCAGACTTTATAATGTGTTCCTAACTGGGCACGCTTCTGCAGGGTAAGACATCCAGACTTTATAATGTGTTCCTAACTGGGCATGATCCTGCAGGGTAGGACATCCAGACTTTATAATGTGTTCCTAACTGGGCACGCTCCTGCAGGGTAGGACATCCAGACTTTATAATGTGCTCCTAACTGGGCACGCTTCTGCAGGGTAAGAGATCCAGACTTGGTAATGTGCTCCTAACTGGGCATGATCCTGCAGGGTAAGACATCCAGACTTAATAATGTGTTCCTAACTGGGCACGCTCCTGGCCGGTAGGACATCAAGACTTTATAATGTGCTCCTAACTGGGCACGCTCCTGGCTGGTAAGACATCCAGACTTTATAATGTGCTCCTAACTGGGCACGCTCCTGCAGGGTAGGACATCCAGACTTTATAATGTGCCCCTAACTGGGCACGCTCCTGCAGGGTAAGACATCCAGACTTTATAATGTGCTCCTAACTGGGCACGATCCTGCAGGGTAAGACATCCAGACTTTATAATGTGCTCTTAACTGGACACGCTCCTGCAGGGTAACACATCCAGACTTTATAATGTGCTCTTAACTGGACACGCTCCTGCAGGGTAAAACATCCAGACTTGGTAATGTGCTCCTAACTGGGCATGATCCTGCAGGGTAAGACATCCAGACTTTATAATGTGCCCCTAACTGGGCACGCTCCTGCAGGGAAAGACATCCTGCCATGTTTGTCAGGCTTTCAAACTTAAAAAACAAATTATAATAATAATAGTAATAAGTATAAGTAAAAAGTAAATTGGTGGGTAAGTAATTGCACCAGGACATAGCACAAGCAATAAACACCCAGGGACACAAAGTGCCGCCATGCAGATGAGGATCACCCATGTAGAGGTCCCAGAAACACTGTTCATCAGTTAGGCCGTATTTCAGGCCCGGCCGTATTTCAGGCCCGGTTATATTTAGCGCCCCCGGTAAAAGCTGATAGCTAAAAAATGCATCCTACAAGGGGATGATGAGATGTTGAAATGCAAATTAACAGATGACATCTTCATGCATCAAAGATCAAAAACAAAAAATTTGAGACAAAAATTACCATAAATAAAAACTGAAAGTGTTTAAAAATAGTAATAATAAAAGGAAGAGTTACTGTTAAATCATCCTGTATATATTTTCACAGTAATTGTTGCCATTATAGTCTCGTAACAACTGCCATAGAAGTGTGCGGGTTAGACTTTGACATATTCTAGGCTGCAGCATACTCCTCATCACCTTTCTTGCCAGACAGCTCCTAGAAAATTATGAAATTTCTGTTTTCCATTTCATGATAGCCTGGGTTTAGCCCAGAATCATAATAGTTAGGGAAAAAATAAAAAATTGAAAAATTAAAATTCATAATGCCAGTTGTGGATGCTTCTTCTTCTTATTTTTCTTCTTCTTCTTCTTCTTCTTCTTCTTGTTCACCAACTGTAAACTCCAGCAGATACTTCTGGTTGTTTAACCACTCAAGGATTTTGAACTTGATTCAGAACTTAAGCTTTGCATGCATATCTGTTTTACATATCTGGCTTATGTGTATGCAGACTGTTGATTCCTTGCCTCATAGGCAGATGCAGTCTGATTATTATTTTCCCCCCAAAATGAGGCCCTGAAACCCAGACTGTGAAAGTGGGGATTGAATCCCGACTACTGTCTTGGTAGGCAAGTGCCCCCAACACTTCAATGTATATTTCAAGAAATAACTACACATTATACACACAATAACTATAAAGCTCATCATCATCATGTAGCAGGTCCTTTGCAAAACGTCGCTCTCATCACAGTCTGCCTGAAAGAAACTCGGTCTCTCGCCAGTTATCCCGCCTCATGCACTTTCACACTCAAGGAGTCACTATAAAGCTCAGCTAAGGGAACAGAGAAGGTGCTAAAAAAATACAACCAGATGTTTTGACCAGTCTTTATCGATGGACAAAACAACAGACTAATTCTAGCACAGACAATATCACTATGATGAAAGGAGCCAGAAGTGCTGGGCTGGATTCAGTCCATGATACCAAAGTAATTAAACAGGATAGAATAGAATGGGGGGAGGGAGGATAGACGGTGAGCCCTATGTTATGTATAATGGCACTATTAAACGGTGAATGAATTTAAAAATCACTATGAAAATTTTCATTTTGTTGAAAAGAAATGTATGTGTATTGTAAAGTAAGTAAAAATCCCTTTTCACGCTTTTAGGCGTATTGGGTAAATGGGAAAAGCACCCATATTTTTACAGACGATCGGCACTAAATGGGTAATGTGATCAGCATTATGCCTGCCATCCTTACTTCCCCAGGACAGCCATTCTGGTACCTATTTTAGACTGGGTCGACCTGCGACACCCCATACCATGATAAAAATCCACTCAGTGGGTTTTGATCGCAGTACATTGGAATTAGGAGTCGGACTTGCAATGCCTAAGCCACAGACGCCGCATACTTGTATTGAGTATAGTTATTTTACAGTATCAGCTCAGTTGCAGTGGTCACTATTTACTTAACTGTACACGGCTTAACTCTTTGAGTCCTAGGGGGTTTAGCATTAGAGGCCAAAGGGCTAGTCGAGAGAGTTGTAAAATCAGCTCATCTTGTGTTTAGTGAACTTCTAGGTAGGAACCTATGAACGTATGATGCATTCCTTGGGACTCAAAAAGTTAATAGACAAAATATTCACACAAGTAAATGTCTTCTTTCCATGTTTTAGTTTTACCAGCCGAGGCAGCAGCATCTACTGTAGTGCCACCAACTGGTCCAACACTTCAAACAGTGACTTATGCATTCTGTAAGTTTTGATTTGTGCTTCACTAATTTGTTGTCTTCATTATTGCTCATTGTTCTTTCTAAGATTATCTTCACTGCACATCGGGCCTACCCAAAAGTGCTCTGATCTTCTCATAAGCATGTTTCTTAGTGTGTTTACATTGACAACTACTATTGGGTACATGGTTGATGTAATGTGAGCTCTTGCATGGTGTTCGTGTCAAGCTGCTCAAGCTGGTATACTTAGACTTCACAGCCAAGTCAGAGAAAAATCATGATCCTTCAGCACATCTTGTCTCTCATATGATATTATGTCTGTTGTTGGTACATATCACGAAACTCACCCCATCTCCTGGGGCGTGAGATTTCCAGCAGCCTGTCCTATGTGCTAGGGGTGTTATCTTTCATTATTTTTCAATGTGTAACCCATAAGTGCTCCATTTTTCTTTTAATTCAATTCTGAGTCCGAAGAAGCTCAGCCCAGGACACAGGCTCTGTAGCACCGGCAAGGATCCTGAAATACTTTGGGTAGATCTTTAACTGCAAATTTTGCCCAGGCACCACCACTGGGCTACTCTTTTTGATTTCCAACTGCCAACGGATTTTGTACGTGTGCAACAATGCACACAGGCATTTGATCTCACTACCAAGAGATCCGGGGGGGGGGGGGGGGGGGGGGGATTACTATAAGTCCAAGTCCATGTGAAAAAATCCCAGCCCTTACCGGGGATTGAACCTGGAACCTCTAGCAATCCAGGCGGACACCATGCTTCCAGACCATGCACTCTCCTGGATGTGAATGCTGATCTATTAGTGCCCTTACCTCTGTGTCCACGGCCGCAGAAATATGATCCCTACTGTACCTTCCGAGTGTGATGACAACCTTAGAGATGCCTTGCATGTCTACTGGTGTATTGGTCCATTCTTTTCTGTGACTGATTTCATCTAGGTCACGTACCTGCTGGATTAAACCTTCAGCCTTATTCATCCAGGAGCAGCCATTTTAGATGCATTGCTTTTTTTGGTGTATATCTAGGAATTACTCTTCACAGCAGTCTGTCTTTCAAACACCATGTGGAAGAGGTAGTTTCAAAGATGGGGAAAGGACTAAATGCTTTGAAGGTGATGGCATCAGCAGACATGGAACAGAAAATGCTGCATACACTCTACCAGCAACTGATTATTTTTGGTGATGGAGTGTGGTTTGGGACTGCTAACACTATCTCCTACCCAAATAAAAAAGTTGAAATGCATGCAAAATGAAGTGTACTAACTCTCATTTGTGTGCATGTGGCACATACAGTGGAACCTCGCTTAACGAGCATAATTCGTTCCAGAATCATACTCGTTAAGCGAAACAGTTGTTATGCGAAGCAATTTTTCTCATATAAATTGAAGAAAAATACAAAAATGCGTTCGATGTTGAAAAAAAATACTCACAAAATCCTATGTATAAGTTACATAATATTTATTCAAAGAAAATTATATGCATATTTAAGGAGAGTGAATCATCTTCATCTTTTCTTCAAAGGCGGAACGAACAAACATGGAATGCGAATTCGATTTGCAGAAAAAAAAAGTCGAAATAATTGTGATACATAGCTAATTATTTTTTTACTAGAAAGATGTCCAGAGACATTTGTTTTTGTCGACGCTTCAAAATTTGGCGAAGTCGATCTTCAAAATTTGGCGAAAATGTGACACAGCATTATCATTAAATTTGCAGCGCCCATAGTCACATCCTTATTAAGGTGATACTTCTCAATGTGAGAAGCAAAAGTTTCCCATGCTTTCAGCGTTTTTCCTATTTCGCCAGAAGATTGTTGCTTTTCTGTTACCATCTACTTCTCCTCCTCTGACAAACTTTCCTCCAAAACGTCTTGCTGTGAAACACAATGCAACTCCATAAGCTCTTTGATGGTCAGCTCCTGGCTGTGCTCTTCCACAAGCTCTTCAATATCACTGTAATCCACCTACAATCCCATGATAGTGGCCAAAGACACAATCTCGTTGACTACAGGTTCCACAGGTAGTCTCAAACCCCTCAAAGTCACAAATCCACAACACTCTCCGGCCAAAGCTTCCTCCAAGAAGAAGTTAGGGTTCTCTTGGTAACCCCTTCCCCCGCCTTGTCGGTCATCTTGAGGCAGGCAACAATGTGGAAGTGATTTTTCCACAACTCTTTGAGAGTGAGGTTGGTCCCTTCAGTCACCTGAAAACAATGCTCGAAGAGTGCTTTACTGTAGAACTTCTTAAAGTTAGAAATAACTTGCTGGTCCATTGGCTGGAGTAACGGAGTGGTGTTGGGAAGCGGAAACTGGATCTTGATGAACTTAAATTCATCAGGGAGGTCATCTTTTAGGCTTGGAGGATTCATGTACATATATCACAATATAACACGTTTGAGAAAATGTGTGATTACAAGCGACAATGCTACTGGAATGAGTGCTAAACACTGATGTCACATGCGCACAATCCGGGACTTCCCTCTCCTCGCCACTCGTTATGCGAAACCTCGCTCGTTAAGCGAGTCATTCTTTTACAATTTGTCTTGCTCGTTATGCAAATTACTCGTTATGAGAGGTGCTCGTTAAGCATTCTGTATAAGAGAGACAAGGTTTTACAGGCAAAAATGTACCTAAAAGTCGCAATGGACAGAGAACACCTTGTGCAAGAGGCAGCAGTTCTCAGCCTGTGGGTCACGATCCTTTTGTGAGTCGAACGATCATTTCTCAGGGACCGCCTAAGACTTTCAGAAAACACATATTCGCTGAAGCTATGAAATAGCAGTAAAAATAATTGTATGGTTGGGGGGGGTTGCCACAACATGAGGGACTGTATTAAAGGGTGGAAGGTTGCCTTAGGAAATAGCAAGGGACAACAGCTGAAAAGAGTTGCCTCTTGGATGGCACAGGTGGAAGCCAAGGTCAGAACTGTTTGTACTACTGACAAGATGGCTCACAGTGAAAAATGGGTTACAGTAACACTCAGCAAAACAGACTTGCACAGAGAGATAGTTATCTTGGACAGAGGGTGCAGGGAATGGATATATGGTGAAACAGGGTCAAAAGTGCAAGAGCTGATCAGTGAAAATTCACACCCATGTGACATGATAATATATACAAATAGGTCTGTAATGAGAGGTAAGAAGAGTGGGTGAGCGTATTTTGCAAATGTGAATGGACTTTTTGAAAACAGAGAGCCTCGCATACAACTTCACTAAATGCAGTATAAGAATGGAAGTGCCGGCAGTAACGGCAGTTTTCAGATGGCTTGAGAGAGTATAGCCTGAGATATTGTGATTATGACAGACTCACAGAGCATGTGTAGGCATGGGGGTCTTTGAACCCAAGAGTTTAGGTTAGTATGGCTATTACAGTTGCCATGGACTGTGCAGTTCAGGATTTTATTTTTGCCCCTGAAAAAACAAAATCACCAACCTTAAAGAGGCTCTCCTATATCAGAGCTCAGTGGTTTTAACTGTTTGGCCAGCCACTTCTCAAATATACTGGTTACTGGGTAAAAGTATATTTAAAATATGTTATAGTCAGTTATAAATCTTCTTCTTCTTCTTCGCGTTCACCAGCTGTACACTCTGGCGGAAAGTTCTGGTTGATCGTCCACTACTGAACTGCAGTCCTGCTCCAGAACCTGAGTGTTGCGTGTGCATCAGTTTTACAGATCTCATTCTCTTGAATACAGACTGTTGGTTCCTTGCCTCTCCGGCAGATGCACTCCGACTTCAAAGGAAGCTCCCCAATTAGTCGACTCTTACGACATGCTTTTGGGGAGGCAGTGGGTCTATTCTTGTTTTCCCCACAATGGGGCCCCGGAACCCACACGGGGGTAAAAGTTATAAATGATTGTCTTTGGCAGCCCACCAGAAGTTTGCAGAATGTGATTTTGCACAAGACCTGTGCAGCTGGAGCAATGCAGATTATTCTGACTTCAGCTGGAATAGAACATCAGGAGACAAAGATCTACCATTTGCCCCTTTGCACGCTCGGCCAGGCAGTGGTTAGTCACATGTTTATAGATATATTTTCTCTAATACAAATGAATTAAGCTTCTGGTATACGTGGCAGTTAAGACTATATATAATTTAAATAAGATGCACGAGTGCTAATAATTGTCTATTCAAGAGGATAGTAAAATGGCCTGGTTTAAAAAGTGAAAAAAAGAAAATTAAGGTAAGAACAAATTGTTTGCTCTCATTTAACATAGAATCAAAAGTGCTCAGGTAAGACATGAATATCTATTCTTTTTTTAAATATGTTTTCCTTTATGACTGAACACATTTTGGAATTATGATAAATTGATGACCACCTTTATGGACATCTGGGGGTTTCATTTTGGGGAGAATATCTTTATTTTTTCTTTGGAAAGCTTGATATATTGCATGTTAGCCAAGGTGTAACTTTGTTAAAGAATGTTTTCATTCATGCTGACAGTTAATCTAGAATAGTGGTAGACCAGGATGGGAAAATTTATGTAAAGCTTGATTAGTATAAAATCCATAGTAGTGACCAGAGGATAAGGTCAGTGTTCAACACTCAAGGAATATGTAAGGAGGACATATAAGCAGACTGCAGCTGGTATTACTGTGAATGGGATTTTGTGCTGGCTACTAAAGATGAAGACAGAATGCCTATGGGAGTTTCCCAAGCTGATATGGTTCTCGACTCAGCTAAACTGGATTAGATAGGACTGTGCTTAGAAAATACTGTATGAAATATTCCTGTTTCCTATTGACAAGAAAGAAACAATTAAACCAGACACTATCTACTTATGCTGCCAACAAGTCTTGGGATACCACATTAGTTAAAATTGAAGAATGGCTCATAGAACATTTTATGGAATTCCAAAAAAACATGTTACAAAAGAAAGCTACGACTGCCTAGAGCACTAACTATTAGCACATTTACATATGACTATGATACATTTACATATGGCTATGATACATTTACATATGGCTATGATACATTTACATATGACTATGATTCATTTACATATGGCTATGAAATGTGGACCTTAACAGTTGAACTCAGAAAGAAGATACAAGCATTGGAAATTCAATGTTTCAGAAATATTCTTGGCATATCATACAGAGACTACATCACAAATGACCAGGTTCACCATATAATTGCCCAGCACATTGACAACTATCAACTTGTTTTAACTGCAGGAAAATGCAATGGTATAGACATGTAATAAAGTCTAATTTCCTCTCAAAAGCCATACTAAAGGGCTCTCTTGAGGGGAAGAGAAGAAGAGGCAGAACAAGAAAGACCTGGATACAAAACTTGACAGACTGAATAGTCCTTGGGCATGCAACCATGAAGTCCACCACATCTGACTGTCAAAATGGAGGGAGCTGATCAGACAGTCTACAGCAATTGGTGACCCAGGACACACAGTGTTATAGGATGATGATGATGATAAGTGGCTCATAGTGATAGACAAGAATCATCATACTAATAGTATAACAAAATATGACACAACTACAGTTGGCTGTAATTATTTACTTTAACTCTTTAAGTCCCAGAGGGTTTAGCATCACAGGCCCAAGGGGTAGTCAAGAGAGACATAAAATCGGCGCATTATGCGTTCATTGGGCTTCTAGGCAGTAACCTATGAACGTATCATGCGTTCCTTGGGACTCAAAGAGTTAATACATTTAGACAGTAAGCATATAGAAGCTTGACTTAAATAGGAGTTGACTGCAGCTGAGCTGACTAAATTCTTTATCAGTGGAATACTAAATACAACAACATACAACAAAACAAACTGATACCTCTCTGTGATCAAAAGAGTTAAACTATATGAAATTGTTTACCCCTGTTAAAATATACCATTTATTTTCATATGTGACTAGAAATCTCAACAGACAAGACAGCAAAGCTTGGTTTGACAGTAATGCTGGACACCAAACAATATAATAGTTATGGTCATTATGGCTATGGAGTTGCTGGTCAAATAGTTAGAATTCTGGGCTCTCATCAAGGGGACCTGGATTCAATCCATGGTGAGGGATGGAGATATTGTTTTGTCAGGGGCACACACACACAAATCCTTACCTGCTCAGTTCATGGTGAATGCACCAGTCATGCAATCTTCACGCTCATGACCCCCTTTTCTGCTCTAAAAAAGTGCCGTTAGTGCCCATATTTACCATTTTAATGGTGTATGGGAGGGGATGTGAGAGCCTGAGGATTTACTGCGGAAAGTTCTGGTTGTTCAGCCACTTCTAGGCTGCATGTGTTGTTTGTAAACTTGATTGTCTTTTGCATGCACCTCCATTTTTACAGATTTGGTGTTGTTGGTAAAGAAAGAGCCGACAGATTAGCTGGCTCTGCCTTAGTTACAGAGGGCCAGCCCATGGATCATGCAGACATTGGTAATGCTATTAGAGAGATAGGATGATCGGAGGATTTTGGTAGCAGCACATCGACATCTTTGCTAAGAGTGCAAGAATAGGGAGTAAAGATCGGCACAGCCAGGTACAAGAAGCACACCGGATACACAAGAAGTCTTGTCAACCAACATAGGACTGGGACCATATTACTGTGGGATGCTGATGTGATTGTTGAAGGGGGAATCTGAGCACCAATGGACATGTCCGGAGTGCCGTGAAGATGACCCAAATCATAACTCATAACTCCGGCTTATTTGCAGACTGTTAGTTCCTTGCCTCTTAGGAAGATGCATTCCAACTTAGAAGGAAAGCATAATTAGTCGACTTGTACAACATGCTTGTTGGGGAGGCAGTTGTTCTGTTCCTTTTCTTCCTCATAATGAGGCCCCCCCCCCCCCCCCCCCCCCCCCTCGAATCCACATGGGGAATGGTAGTAGTGAAAAGTAATGTAAATTACCTCTTTTCATGCCATGAGGTCTATTGCATATCTTCTCCTCTTCTTCACATTCACCGGCAATAACTAAGGTGGAAAGTTTTGGTTGTTTGTCCAACTTTGAACTTTACTCTTGTTCCAAAACCTGAGTGTTGCATGCATATCCTTTTTACAGATCTGATATTTTTGTATGCAGATTGTTGGTTCCTTGCCTCTCAGGCAGATGCACTCCAGCTCGAAGGAAGGCTCTCAGTTAGTTGACTCTGACAACATGTTTGTTGAGGAGGCAGTGGGTCTATTCTTGTTTTATTGCAGAACCCACAGTGAATGTTGCATATGTATGCCACATCTTAGTGTTGCATTTGTATGTCACATCTTAGTGTTGCATTTGTATGTCACATCTTAGTGTTGCATTTGTATGTTTAGTGTTGCATTTGTATGTCACATCTTAGTGTTGCATTTGTATGTCACATCTTGGTGTTGCATTTGTATGTCACATCTTAGTGTTGCATTTGTATGTCACATCTTAGTGTTGCATTTGTATGTCACATCTTAGTGTTGCATTTGTATGTCACATCTTAGTGTTGCATTTGTATGTCACATCTTAGTGTTGCATTTGTATGTCACATCTTAGTGTTGCATTTGTATGTCACATCTTAGTGTTGCATTTGTATGCCACATCTTAGTGTTGCATTTGTGTGTCACATCTTAGTGTTGCATTTGTATGTCACATCTTAGTGTTGCATTTGTATGTCACATCTTAGTGTTGCATTTGTATGTCACATCTTAGTGTTGCATTTTTATGTCACATCTTAGTGTTGCATTTGTATGTCACATCTTAGTGTTGCATTTGTATGTCACATCTTAGTGTTGCATTTGTATGCCACATCTTAGTGTTGCATTTGTATGTCGCATCTTAGTGTTGCATTTGTATGTCACATCTTAGTGTTGCATTTGTATGCCACATCTTAGTGTTGCATTTGTATGTCACATCTTAGTGTTGCATTTGTATGTCACATCTTAGTGTTGCATTTGTATGTCACATCTTAGTGTTGCATGTTTTCTTCTACAGGTGACAAATATTTCCTGACTTTACCAAAGTTCACTCCTGGAAAGTCAGCCATTCTACAGTCTCCAAGTTTTAATGAACAGGCTCCTGGCAGTTATGTTTCAGGAAAGTTTGAATTCCGTTTGTGGTTGAACATACAGGGAGAACATACAGGGCGGTTTGTTGTTGGGTTGACTACTAGCAATCTATCTGATACTATTTATTATCATGACCAGCCGACAACTTCTTGGGAACAAATTGAATTTTCAGTTTATGCTGCTGGACCATTCAGTGTAAGTTAGCATAATACGAGGTGTCATTTATTTATTGTATAACAAATCAAGAATGGAAAATTTCTGGGGGAACTACTTTATTAGTTGTTATATCACAGATTTTATTAACAATCATGATCAACATCAAGGGCCCTGCTGACTGACATAAGCGATTATACTTCAGCACATGGTGTCATCTCCAACAGTCTGTATCAGCTCTTATTCTGGCATCCATCAAAGCGGTGACAAAAAGCTGTCAGAAATCTTCTACTGTTGCTTTCTTCTATCTTGCTTTCCACAATTTTTTTAATTGTCCCAACTTGTTGAGAAATAATTTCTTTTTGCCGCCATCTATCTCTCTTTCCACACATTCTTAAAAGTTTCACAGCTTGTTCAGAAATCTTCTGTTGTTGCCTCCTCCTATCTCTGTTTCCACACATTTATCTAATGTAACAAGTTGTTCATAAATCTTCTGTTGTTGCCTCCTATCTCTATTTTCACACATTCTTCTAGTTTTCACAACTTGTTCAGAAATTTTCTGTTGTTGCCTCCACCTATCTCTGTTTCCACACATTCTTCTAAGTGTCACAGATTGTTAATAAATCTTCTGCTGTCGCCTCCTCCTATCTCTGTTTCCACACATTCTTCTAGTTGTCACAGCTTGTTCAGAAATCTTCTATTGTTGCCTCCTCCTATCTCTGTTTCCACACATTCTTCTAGTTGTCACAGCTTGTTCAGAAATCTTCTATTGTTGCCTCCTCCTATCTCTGTTTCCACACATTCTTCTAGTTGTCACAGCTTGTTCAGAAATCTTTTATTGTTGCCTCCTCCTATCTCTGTTTCCACACA